ACACCTTCCCGCCTTCACAGTCAATTCTCTCCCAAGACCTATCTACAGGATGAGATCATTGCCTTTTCTCCCGACAACGTCCGCTCCCATCCAGACACCGACAACATCTGGCGTCCTATAGACCCAGAAGAGATCTGCAACGCTAGATAATTAGAAGGCGCGACCATAGCGGGTTTGTTTGCCCGAAGGGCAAACAAACTCGTAAATTATAATCTTCTGCGGTCGTATGTAAGAGTTGTAACACATCCACGCAAATGTGTCCATATCTCATAACTATGTAGCCTTCCCTTTAATTTTTAAGAGGGAAAGGGGTAAAAGGGAGGCCTCTGAACCTTTCTTAGGGTACGTCCCCTTAGGTTAAAGAAATTCTGGAAAATCGGCCAATAAGGGTAGAGGAAGGTGGAGCTCTCTTCATGCTGCCCCTCTTTCGTGTGTGTGTGGTCTGCCATCTATTTTTTGGAGGCGCAAGCAAACCATTATAATGGACCTCTATGGCGCCAACTTTTGGCTCAAATATGAAAATGCGGAAAATTTTTTAACATCTGCTTGCAAATATGTAACAGTAGTGATATTCTCCGTGGCTTAACCTTGGGATTTTGGAATCGATCTTGCCGTTTTTGAGATACTGAGATCAAGTACTAGTTAGTGCTTGGTGCGGTACTTAGTAAGTACCAACATAAGAAGCAGATCAATGAGTGGATGACAATGATATAAAGTTCATATGTATGGGACTAAGCGTGTAGGAATCCGAGAGGGTTTTCTTCCAGTCAGCCCAAATCAGAGGGTACTGCGCCCCCTTAGGCTCCGTAACAACGGTTTCCTGAAAAAATCCGTTTATCTGATTGGAAAGAAAGTTCTCGGAATTTCTTGAATATCCAGTACAATTTATATGAAATTCCGAGAACTTTCTTTCCAATCAGATAGATATATAAAACCAGCCAAATTAACGATCCCAGAACATCAAATCCTCATTCCCGTGGCGAATCCGACTCTGAACCTATCGTTCGCATTCCTTGTCTTTCCCTGATCTTTCGGTATCTGCGGCCATCCGAGAAGCATGTCCAACCGGAGAAATCTCTCCGTGCACTTGCACCGAGTACCTCGAGGGTGTGGAAGTGGATTGTTCGAGAGCCGGGACGAGTGCTCAGATTTCCTTTGCATTGCAGAACGCCGATTGGCCCTCCTTTCGACTCTGGTAAGAGAAAATTTTCCTCTCGCCTTCCAACTCAAGGACATGAGCTACGGCAGGCGCAGAGGGAGAATCGCTTCCTTTTCTTCGGCTGGAAGTTAGGGGGAGGAAAGAGGTTAATTCACGATAAAAACATTTGGGAAATTCCCACTCTACTGAGGGCAGCCAAAAATTTCCGCTATTTTTTACCATGCAAAATCCGCAAACTCTAGATCGAAATCGTTAACACTATCACGCATTCTTCAGTACTTACAGTGTTATAGAGGCATCGTCGTCGAACTCCGCTGTAGCGTCATTGCGCTGTCAGCGAAACTGTCGCGATGGAGTCATTTGAGCCGCGTGCGAACTTAATTCAAGTTTTGTGCAAAGATAAATGTGCTCGACCTGGTTAGGATTGGCGATCCTTTTGGACCAATCAGCAGGTCAGTTCTCTCTCACACGACATCTATCATGACCTGCCAGTATATTTTCAGTGCGTGCAGGATTCTTTCGTAAAGTGCCGACGGACGACCGGAAAAGGACTCGCGAGGTAACGTCTGAAGACCTCATCGACCGAGTCAACTTCATGTCCCGAGTTCCTGTCGCACATCAGGCGTGCCGATACGTGGGTTAAACTTCGTGGCCGTGACCTCGAGTCAAGGTCGCGTTGTGCCGCTCGGGAGAATCCAGACTCCCCTCGCCTGAAGAGGAGCCACGTGTCAAATGGAGACTTCGCTGAACCTCCGTCTCCAAAAAAACTATTAAATACCTTCCGCCATAGTATTTTGCGCACTTCCGTTATTATAGTAACGGAAGAGCCCAAAAGTCAAAAGACAAAAATCAGCCTGTTATACCACGTTGATTTTCTTTGTAAAAAGCATCAGCGCACACGCCCACATCGTTAAATTGTGTCAGTTCTAATATGCTTAAGACATAAGCGTTGGCCTTGCTAGTTCCCTATATACTGCAAAGTTTCATTCCAAGTTATACGTCAGATAAAATACATCAATCTGATCTTCAAAAATATAATATGGAGCTGCAAAATATAAAAAGTGTAATATTCATTAGTATACTTATCATGGCTTAAATGTTGAATTAATTGAATTTGGTAATGCGACGAATTCGTTTGCAACATTTCTATTGCTGATGGAGTGTTTTTTTTTTAGTCCAGAAGGTATTTCTTTTCTAGCTGTTAGTACCAGAGTCGGCACCTCATAGATCATTTTGGAACTGATTTGTGGTGGCATGTATCGATGCGAACATTGTGATTCATAGTTTACAAAATTTTCCCAACTTCCTAAAGTTGCAAGGTAGGAGAGTGATGTTGGTGCTATTGAGTAGCGCTGAAGCTATATAAACAAAGATTTAGCTATATTCTCGATATCAATTTGTTAGAATCGATTAGAAATCATACTTGAATTTGAAATGGAACGGAAAAGAGCAACTGAAATCCACTGATTTATGAGAGCAGGGAGAAACTTTTTTCTCATCTTCCTCTCATCAGGCGATTCTGGATGGAGGGTAACACGAACGTAAAGGAACTGCACAAAGGGATCTTTGGCGACCTCTCCTTCGAGCAAATAATCGTGCGCGACAGTGCCTTGGAGAGGATCGATTCCATGGCCATCCTCCCCTCCAAATCCGAGCTCGTGAACATCTCCGTTCATCGTAGCCGCTTGAAGTCGTTTCCCTTCGATATCGTGCCGGACCTCCCCCGCCTCAAAAGGCTTTGGCTCTACGGAGGTTTGCTGAGCTCGGTTCCAGCCATCCGGAGTATGAGCCTCGATATATTCTGCCTCTCAAACAATAACATGGAGTTGGTGATGGAAGACGGATGGGCAACTCCCAACGTCACGGAATTCAACATCGGTGAGTACTTGACTTACGGTGGAGTACACTGATTCCCTATTGATTGATTTCCCTCTATTACACCTTTTATCTGAGATTCATGCACATTTCCTATTCGACACGGAAACGTTGCGCCAACATTGGGCAAACTGATTTTTCAGCGTAGCAATGTTGCCTCAATATTGTGCAAAAGGTTGCCTAAATGTTGAAGTGAAACACCGTTCAACGCTTAAAATAAGCTCATACATCACGTTGTACCAAAGTTGAATTGTCAACGTTTGGGCTTTACCTTCTCCTTTTCCTGAAAGCATTAATATTGAATAGATCATGAAAGCACTCTTGGGAATACTATCATGGAGAGGTCCTTCTAAGATTGCAACTTCCTTTAATGGATCGGAATCCGAATAATGTACTTGAATGACACAAATCATTCTGTACAGCAAGGGAATTATGCAACTAGCCCTCCGTGGAGGATAAATTTGAAGACGATACCCCAGCAATTATCTCCTGATTTATCTCCCATGCCGAGAAGAGTTAGACACACCCTCGCAGACCAGTTAACACGTTTTTTAATTCTCGAAAGAATTGCAAGATCCCAAGCCAGTATATGCGCCTTGTAGTGAGGTAGAAAGATTTCGGGATGTCTCCTCGAAGCCCTTGCCAGAAGTAACTGGTACCTCCTTCTGCCGGGCTGCATCCTTCAACGGGTCAATCTAGGAATTTCAAAGCTTTCCCTTAAGTTGTGCGTAGGAAAAGATCGGGGGCTGTATGAAAAATACATAAGGCGGTATTTTTCAGGGTACCCGGGACAGAATTGTAAAAACGGCGTTTGGCGTCATCTCGCGTCGAACCTATTTTCTGCTGAAATGATCTGGATAATTCCATGTTGAAATAACATTAAGACTACAATGAAGGCGAATGTGATCCCTGGAACCTTCATGAAAGTCTGTCCTTGTATACGTCGAGAAATAACTGACACGATGGAAATACCTGGCTAATGCTGTCGACGATGGAGCCATTAGGTTCTCCATTGAAGACGTCGTATCGTGCGCGGCCGAGTGACTCTCGTCTCAAATCTTTTAAATACGAATTTTGTGGATTGATGTTCTTACTGCAAGTGCTGCCTCATCTCACGATTTCCTTCTCTACATTCCACACAGGCTATAATCCCCTGTTGAAGCTGCCATTTGCAGTGATCAAGGGCCTGGAGAAACTGGAGGAATTATATTGCTCGGGGTGCGATTTGGGACCCACCCTTCCCGTAGGCCTGCTGGAATTCCACAGCAAGACCTTAAGGATAGTGTCCCTCTGGCACAACCGCATCTCGAAAGTGGAGCCGGGAGCCTTCACAGGTATGGTCCCGAGTCCCACGTCACGGAAAGGCATTTTGGATGGGAGGGATTCACTTTCAAGTTTCTAACCTTTAACCGCATTGTGTTCTCCTCTCTGTTTCCACCACACTCGCCATAGAAAAGAAAATTCATGTTGGGAGCCCGTTCTTTTTTCTGTGCTTCAATCTTCAAAAGAGTGTGAAAACTGTCACGATCTTGAAGTGTAGAGAATCCATTGGTGAGATATCTTTGGGGTATGCACTTCCCACCTGGGATATTTGACTGCTTCCAACTTTCAGACTGAATTGATGAGAATTTGCTAATTGTATGTGGACTGCAGGGAAAAAGTATTTGCTAAATAGTTTCAACAGACCTGATACCTGTGCATATGAACAGTTTTTTTTTTATCGACTCAGCCTTTAGGGCTAGTTAATAATCTGAGAAGCAATCCAGAAAGTTCTCCCTTTCGAAAAGTCCTAGAGGAAACCTAAAGATATTTCTTGTAGGAAAGCAACAGCATTTTCCCATAGATTTTTGATACATGAAAAATCTATTGGATCCCTATACTGTATGGTCCAATAGGACTCCTGACCTATTGGATTCGAAGATTCATTTTGGGAAAACCACCAGCCCATGCACAGGTCTGTCTCATGGATGGGCAGGAGCCATAGGACAGTACGAAGTTTGATCTTCCCTCAATGTACTAATTATAGAAGATGCAATAGAGATTATCCCTTTCAATGTTGTACCCACGAGCTCGGTTCCTTCCCCCGGAGAGAGAACGACAATTCTGCCCTCACAGGGAGGAAATGACGGTCGGATGACACTAAGGGCATGGAATAGAGAGTATAGAGGCGACACTCCGAGGGGTAGGGGACGGTCGAAATGTTACAGAGACATCTGGTGGCTTGTTAACAACACTTCCAAGGGCGTGCTTCTTGGCAGTGGAATCAGGTATCGACTCATTCGGGGATTCGACCGAAAGGGATCCCTCAACGTAACACGTGTCTAGTTGAGTCGACTGCTCGGTAGTGAAGGAGTTGTCGATGTGCACTCGCTAGATGGAGGATCGACAACGACATCTATGTACGGACCTTGTCAATGAATCATTGTGAATGTGAGCGTGTTTATGGCGCTGGCTCCATGATTCTCTCTCAAATATGGGGATAAGAAATGACGAAGTGTCCAAGTTTATTGATTGCCACAATGAGGCAAGGCGAGGCATATGGCGAAGTACTGAGCACTCCTGTGAGGCGTGATTCCATAGATAAAGGAAACTGTACTGTTGTGTACTGCGAGAATTGTGAGACCCATACCTCCATCTAGTGGAATGGAGGAGAACTTCAACGTTTCCGAAAAATGTAAAGTGCAACTGAGGCACACTGAATCATCGCATCTATCCGAAATGGGATCGATGATGGACTGGCAATATCAGGAAGCCAATATTTAGCCAATATTGACAATATTTGCCAAAGTGCTGTCAACGTGCCCAATGTTGGTCCAGCATTGAGGCAATATGTGGTGTTACTGGGTGGAGAGTGAGCGTTCCAATAAGTAACGTTTCAATATTGACCCAACGTGCAGCCAGAATTGAACTTCAACGTTCACATGAGTATTGGGATTAGCGACATTTAAATATTGAATTATTGTTATATGCAATGCCACGATTACGCTGATTAAGTTCGAAATTAACTTTCATGCAACGCTAATTGAATGTTCGTTTGTTACCTAACCCTTCCTCTTTCCACCAACACAGTGACGCATACTGGGATGGGGAGGAGGGGGAGGTAATCACCGAAGCGCCATTCAATACTTTCTGTATCTCCCACTGCTCCAGCATATGTGCTGTCCATCACGCAAATGAAATCATTCGGTCAAAATGGAAGATTATCGACTACCGATTATCGACCAGATCGACAATGGAGGAAGAATCATTTATTCTTCTCATGCAGGTTCAACAGGAACCAAAAGTCTTGTTTGCTTCATTGTTCAGTGCAGGAGTCCCACTTCTTTGTATCAGATGCTAAACACTAGTAACGTCTACTACAAGGATATGTGGCAGGAGGAAAGATGCAGTATACAATGGAACATTCACTGTTTTGGAGTTTAGGTGAATGCGTCACAAATCTTTTGTTGTCTCTTGTTCAATCAAAGAACAACTCACTGCCTTCAGTTACGTTTGGGAATAGAAACGAATGAACGCTTCTCGTCATTGAATCTGACAATGCCCTTACTGCGACCCTTTACTGAACAACCGGGCTTACAAGTCATCCATGAAGAAAGTGAAGATCTCATAGGAACATCTCGAAAGTCCTGTAGGAATAAATGGGTCTGATAGATAACCAAAGAGAAATCTTGAGTACCTGGAGCAGTGTCACGCAACATTTTTTTTATTAGCGGTCTATTTTCGGAAGTGACCTACCTCTTGGGCCTTGGGAATGTCCAAGACCTATAAGCTCCGATGGTTTTCTTATCTTGACCCTATATGTCTCATAGACGACCTATTGGATTCCAATTCATTTCCAAAGGATTACCCAAAGGAGTAACTACTGAATACTGTTATTGATCATTTATGGTACTCTTGCCTCTTTATCGAATCGGTTTTCCATGGGACGAAGGAGCAAAATAGATTCCTTCTTTTTCATCCCGCAGGCTTGAGGGCCGACACCCGAGTGGACCTAAGGGGCAACGAGATCGTGGCATTGACAGAAGAATCATTTCTCCCCATTCTGGAAATCCTCTCGCGGGGGAACGGGCTGCTTTACCTGCAGGGTGAGTCGCTCGTCCACGCACGCTTTCCTCGGTCGACTCCGCTGTGAATGTCAGTCTGCTTTCGTGTGAGGCGTAATGCATTTTAATCGTAAATTCGGGCGTCTCATCCCTGCGGCAGTCGAGACACCTACCTGCTCTGTCGGTTCCACGATCTGAACGACTTATGAAATAGTGAAAGTATGCCTGCCCATTTTACCTGGTGGAGAATGCTGGCCTCTCGACGACACATAATTACTGAAGCAGAATGTGTAGCAGTGAAGCAGAATCGAGAGGGGGAATCGGGAGGGTGGAATGGGGCGATGGCCCCGTCGTCATGAGACCTCCCTTTCCGTATCGATAGTGAAAGAAAGACAAGAAGGCCAGATGTAGGGTGAGGTGCACAGCAAATCAGAAATGTACAGTGAGTTACATATTTTGTATGTTATGTGGTACAAACGTATGTCGTAAAATACGTTCGTTGAAAGGGTACACAAGTGTACCCTTCTTATCTCCATTCAGAAGGTTTGCATGGGGTCTTTTCTTTAGAATCCCATGTGTACCTTATTCCGAGCTTAAAGGTGTTAGAAAAACCTGCTTATAAACCTCAATTAGCAACTTTGAGGAGCTTTAATGTCACCATCATCGGGCGCCATGCCTCCGACATTCGGCGAACTGTCAGAGAAGACTGTGATATTGAATGGAAGGCAAATTAGAAACAACACTGTCTTTAAAAATATAATTAATAAATCAGGTGCAGTTTAGGCGAAAGGGATATGTCTCAACAAAGATAATTTGATAGCTGCGGGAAAAAAGGGCCCCGACAGATGGGGTGTGGGATGAACCTGACCGAAAAAAAAGCACGGAGAGGCAAGCTAGAGCCTGGGTGTGGACTCTTGGCCTGGCAGGGAAAGCAACAAAACTCGTTTTCTTCGGTCCAAGGCGTCCTGACTTGAGTTCTCGTGTTCGGGGGAACATAATCGCCATCTTATGCCTATTTTGAGTACTGCATTGGGAAGGCGGACATCAGCGTCTGCAACGTACCCATGTGTACGTATGGACCATATCCGCATGAAGGTACTACGGAGGTACGCATGCGGACGCGAAAAGGACAACATATGTACGTCTCGCATGTATGCCTCTCCTTGTACGTTTCTACTTTGCTGTGTGGGGTAAAATGAGATCGTAAATTCCGATGGGTCAAAATTTATTTCCTGCTCAAATGAATAACATGTTGCCGCCACGTATTGCTTGCTAGCAACAGGGAAAGCAGGAGACATTAATTACTCTTTAAAGCACCACCATTCCGATACCTCTTGATTGTACTAGGTATATTCAAATATTGGAACCCTGTTTCAATATACACAACCTTACCCTACGTTTTAATCGTGTTAACCTCATGAACGTGGACTTTTCTATTATCCCTTAGCAAGAATTGGAAAAAAGACATTTTTGAGGAAAAAGAAACTGACGGCTGCCGCCAGAGTTTTCGAGCATGAGTATTCTTTATTTTTTTCAGACGAACCCATGATCGACTGCGATTGCAGTGTGGCCTGGCTGGTTCGCGATCCGAGCTTACACGGGAGCGTGAGTTCAGGCGCCTGCCGAAGCGGAACTCTTATTCGAGACCTTCACCCGACTTCCTTCCGGGAATGCCTGGAGGCGACGAAGTGCTCGCCGCCTCCCCAGTGTCTCGGCGGCTCGAAAGGTGGAAGATGCGTCGATTCCCAGCGTGAATGTTTCTGCGATGGGGGGACTCTCGACGTGTCCTTCGCCTGTTCCAAAGCGACGCAATTCTGCTGCATCGGCAACGCCTCGCCGGCCCGAGATTGTCCTCGACGCGTGAGTCCATTCGCGTCTCTGTCGTAAGCAAGATGGAACCGCACGAATGGACCCAGTAAAATGTTATTGTTAGGATCTGGCTGAGGCGACCGGTTGTGATCCACTTTCTGGTGACGAACATGGACATTTCAAGATTCTTTCTTGTCCTCTACCTGGAGGGAGGTAGGGTTTCCTTTCCGTGCAATAGTCACTTTACTAATAGTAAAGTTTCACGTAATTTTTCTTTTTATTTCAGAAAATACAAGTTTTGTTGCACGTTTCAGAAAAGGCTTCCATTCCCTTACAGGAACTCCAAATTCAGATTTGATGCGTGATATCATTTAATATGCGAGGTGCGATCAAAAAGTTTCAGGAATTGCTCACTGCTGTCAACAGTGCCTGGATGCTAACAGTGAACAGTTTGAACATCTGTGGTAGTGAACCATGCAATTCAAACTCTGCACACTGAACATTGTGCCTCTCTGAATTACTTAACATATATTTTTTATTTATTAAAGCGTGTATACATTTTTTGGAGACACCCTGTATATTCCAAACACAGTATTATTTGCGTATAATTTCCATTAGTGTCATGTACATTGCAAACCTAGCACCATATATGGGGGCCTGCATATGAACCATATATATTCAATAGTTCCATATTTATTAAGAATGGCCATGACATGATACTGATAGAACTGTTTCCAAACATGGTTAAATTCTGTACTGTACAATCCTAAACATACGCCTGTATTTGGAAGTTCCATAAGGGTTGTGACCGTGTCAACTTATGATAGCTTTTTAGCGCATCATTTTATGGGAATAACATTAAGATTTGACAACCTTATTGAAATGAAAGAGAACACTGGAGAGGACCTGTAAAGCATTGTCTCTCCAAACACGGGACTTCAAATGAAGTTGAAACGTGAACCCTGGTTCATGAAGCAAAAATAATACTTGCGTTTTTAGTATTGTGCAGAGGTTGCAATGATGCCACGTTCTTCGCTTACAGGATGTTTCACCGTGATCGCGAAGGTGTTCGAGACGAGACAGAATGCCTCCCAGGCGGAAGATATCGGGTCGGTAGTAAAGTGGAATATTCCTGCCATCACTATTACGTTCTGAGGGGTCCGCGCGTTCGGACGTGCGGAAAGGATCAAGAATGGACAGGGCCTCCCCCCTTCTGTGAACCAGGTCTGTCTTCTTCCAAACATTTTTCTCCGGTGACTTTATCGGTGCATTTACGATGGCAGCCAATGGTGAGTTTCTCCTGTCGCTGATACAGATTGTGGAAAAAACATGAAAGTAGGCAGATGGGAAGGAGTCACTATGTTCATGGCCCGTGGGAAGGAAGCGCCCATCGGGGAGTGGCCATGGCAGGTGGCCATCTACGATAAAAATGAGAAGTTTATCATTTGTGGAGGGGCTCTGATTGGACTGCGATGGGTTCTCACGGCAGCACATTGTGTCGTGAACGACGAAGTCCGAGAAGCGAAGGAATTCCTCGTGTATCTTGGCAAGCACTACCGAAATGACTCCAGGGACGATGGATTCGTGCAGGAGAGAAAGGTGCAGGACCCAACTGATTTCACCCTTCCTTAAGTTACGGTTTCAGATTTAAGATGGCCTTGCCGCATATTCGCAGGTGACTCAGATCATTCCGCACTACAAATACAGCCGTCAGCAGCACGATATGGACATAGCCCTGTTAAAACTCAACGAGTCCGCCAAGTTGACGAAAAGGGTTCAGTTGATCTGTCTTCCGACTCAAGAATACCTGTCTGAGTACAACGTAGATCATGGAATAGAAGGATGGGTGAGCGAGAGCGATTCACATCACAGCACAAGTCGTCATTCACCTGTCACTTTCCTTTGCTTCGATGATAGATGGCAGGGTGGGGCGAAGACGACTCAAATTCCCCATCAACTTCCTTGAATGAATTACGACTTACAGTCCATGCTCGAAATGCTTGTAGGCGTCAAACGTCTAGAATTGTAGAAAAAATTCCCGACTTTCCCGACGTTATCGAGACTACATTTTGTACTGGACACCGTCCAAAGACAAGTATCTCCGAAGGTAAGATTCTCTGTCACTCGGTGGATGAGAAAGTGAGAGTATGACGATGAATCCCAGTAATTCCAATTAGCGATCACTTCTGCCTGCTTACAGTACTTAAATTGCATTCATGTAAAGTGCATGCAAGGTTGGTGCAGATTCGCAGGATATGATTTTTAGCCTACTATCAATATGTAATGAGTAATACGAGGTATGTCGTGATTTTCCTCTGAATGCCGTCAGCTGGACCATTGAAATGGTTACTTCGTCGCAGAGTTTAAGACGATGTGTTTGGGGGATTCGGGGAGTCCCATGGTCTTCCGCTCCCATCCCAGCCTGAGAAGTCCCTGGGTGGTCGAAGGAATCTTGAGTCACATGTACCTCAAAAGGGACAACCAGACATGTTCCGAAGTAGTCTCTGGACAGTTCGGCGTTTTCACGAAAGTATCTTCGTGAGTTCTCATTCATTCTTCTCATTCATTCATATTCGTGTTACCTTTCGCATGCCTACATATTCGAAATTACGGCCAGTTTCTAGTGATAGTGGGCGTAACCGAATGCACAAATGAATGAGGGGGGGGGGACGTGGCGTGAAAATTTTGCGCAACGCTGATTTATTCCATTTTCATTAAGTCATTCCATCCAGCGGGTCAGAATTGTCTGCAGTTCTCAGGCAAGTATTATTAGAAAATCTAACATATTTCATCATGTAGAAATAAAGATGAATACATCTTGGCGAATACGGGATGCTGGATACTTATCTGAGCGGATTTGCAATCGACATCTCGCGTCGGTTATGCACTGCAAAAAAAAGCTCATGAGGTTTCGAAGTGTTCCTCGTTCCAATTAGGTTCATGGAATGGGTCGAGAATAACATGGCGGTTTACGCAGATTGAAGAGCCACACCTCCTCCAAACTGAACGCCGAGTGAAGACTGAAGTTCTCTACAGCCATAAACCCCAACCCTGTTCTTTGCACCCTCAAAGTTTTTTCCACTCGTGCTTTCGGCTCCTTCATTAGGTTTCGAATGCCAGTAACGGGTGTTTTTTTCATTCCACAATAATAATTCAGTGATCTTATTTGGCATATTATTCAAGCAAATTATTAATTTTGATTGATGAGGTTGCAGAATGTTCATAGACTATAAAATATACATATAAATTGCTAAACACACTTCCAATTTCCATTCACAATGTGATCTTTGGGAACTGGAAGTTCCCAAAGCTGGAAGTGCTGAATTAAAAAGGACAAACATGTGAATGCTTTGTCATTTTTATTTTAAAAAGTCAAGTCTGGGTGGAAGCAAGTAATTACTTTTTTCCATGTTCACTCTCAAGCAAAAGCGATTCTTTTACATTTCAGGGAAAAGGAATAGAAAAAGCATGAAGGAAGTGCTTTCATAATTATTGAGTAAAGGAGGGCCTCCTGAGGATAAGGGAATGCCATCATATCGCTTCGAGGTAATTATAAGTTGTTTCTGTTGTCTGGCACATACGTAAGATGATCCCTTCCTGTCTGGGGTAGCACAGCCAAGGGATATAACGTTAACGAGCGTTTGGGCATTCCTGTCGATCTTAGCGAATTCCAGCATCTGCCTCTTTATTTATCGTCAAGTGTTAAGCGAAATCCGGAGAAGGGGGGCGATAACGGAGGTATCAAGTAGGACTCAGGCACTTCTGTTCGGGGGATCTTCAACAAGAAGGTGCACAAAGGGGCATTTCCATCTTACCGTCAGCATATGACGAATAACGCGGAATCAATTATTTAGAGGCCTAGCCGAGAATTTAATGAAACCGTTCCGAATTCACATAAATAACGAATGAAAGACAAGAGAGTGAGGACCTGGTTGACATCCCTCCTCCGGCCGTAAGGAGCTTGTGCAGAAGATGGGAAAAACATTCGCTGCCTTTATAACTTGATTTATTCCCAGCATCATCGGCTTAAGAGAAAAGAAATGAATGAAAAAGCAATGCCTTTCGGTTGCCAAGTTGGTCATCGACCTCAATCCAGTCCATCTCATGGCCGAATCGTCTCTCAATTCGACCCTCACCCAAGTCGTGCATATTCTTTGCGAGGACCAAGTATGAGGATGGAACATCCCAAATTCCATACGGAAAAACTCAGGATCATCTTTGCGTTTTTACTATTATTCCGAGACGATGTCGCTATCGACTTGATCCCTTATTACGACGTGCATCAAGGATAGAGATCCGAGAATGTGACATCAGACTCCCACGATGTGACTACTGGAAAGTGCAACATGAATTGCGTGAGGCATTATCGTGATCACTCGTTTCCAAATATAGTGTTATACCCTGTTATAGTGTAAATCCCGCTGAAGAATAGCTTAAATTTCCCCACCTTCTTCGTGGAATTTCGAAAACAACACCAACATTTAAAATAGTAATATGGAGCACGAACTGAATACGCATACTTCCGTGAAGCACCGTCGTAAACCGGCGACGGGACTGGTAACATCGTGACAAAACTATGACATAATCATTACCGGCAGTTACCATTGCAAAAATTTGTAGCCGGGAATGTCTCGTCCTCTCATTGTTGGTTGTGAGCACCTCGTCAGGGAATGCATTCAGTAGTAACAATGCTGTCCTTTGCGACGAAATGAGGCCCTATGACGTCAGAATGGACTACATTTTAAACTTTCAACCAAATAAGTATCGCCTCCAGGTCATAAGCTTTCGATCCCCCTATCATTCATTATAACCAGTTCTTAGAGGAGTTCTTGATCGGAATTTGATGGCAAGCCGCAATTTCGCGTTCAATTTGGAGTACATTTTGATGCAAATCTCAAAAATACTCTGAAGAAGAGACATGAAATTTTGCGTGAGACTCACGCAGCAGATGGTGTATATTGGGTAGTTAGCGTTTGTGAGAAATAATTAAGTGATCGGAATGGCAGCTGAACTGCTCATTTAAAATTTAAAATTTTCTTAGTAAATCGCATGTTTCACCATTGAGATATAATGCAAGGACGCATTGTTGGTGTTAAATTCAAAGAACAATGTCTCAACTGATTGAAAGCGTTGATTTCGCATCAAAGTGTTTGGGAGTTATGACCATTTATCCGTGTTCTTCCTTTCTCATGACTCTTTCACATACCTCCCTCATTATCAGCCAATTGTGAATCCGAGATAATCCAAGTTCTGTATCCTTAATGTCATGAGTTAGAACAAAGGACGACGAGTGTTGTGATGTATGCGACTATGTAGAAATCCATACCAATTCCGCAAGCAGTCGGAATTAGTGAACATACAAAAGTCAAATAATATCGCAATCTAGATAGTCAGACACTCCAGACGCCAGGAGGCAAGGGAGTAACTGAACGAAGGCATACGGCGATGCCTCGGGCCATTTAGACCATCCGACCGACGAAACCCTCGTTTTCTACAGCTGGGGAATGCAGAGGCTGAGCGCATGCGCAGTGACTCAGGCAAGGAGAAGTGAGAACATTGGGAAGAACAACCAACAAAACGCTCTCCTTTTAGACGATATTGCGTGACACAATGGAAATGGACGTAAAGGGGGCGAAGGTTAAGCGATCCCAGGAGGCAGTCATTAAGACCGAAAACAAGTTTCTCGGGTTGAGGGAGGTCAGCTTAGATGAGGGAACGGAGGGCGGGGTGGGAACAGGTGTGAGGTCGGCAGGACAAACTCAGGCCGTGTTGAAAGGGAAAGGGAAAACTCGGGCCCTTGTAATTGTCGGTGACTCGAACGTCAGGCGTCTTGAGGGAGCGATGGAAAAAGATTCAGGAGCTCAGGTTTCTTTCAGTCAGTTTCCCGGTGCTAGGATCGAACACATTAGGGATAGGATCGGATCGGTGGTGTGCTCCGAGTCGGCCGAGGAAGTGTCGGTGGTCCTTCACGTAGGGACCAACGATACTCCCAAGTCTGGCTCTGAACTCATCATGGGCA